CAAAACCAACTTTTTAAATTTAGCAAATACTACTCAATAATATACGGAGTACTAGTATTTGAAAAGAAAAAAGAAAATAAAAGAAAAAGAAGAAAAACCCTACCCTAAGCTACCTCTGGCCTGGCACAAAGACATTATTATTATTATTCTCACTACTACTATTTCATCTATTTCGTGCGGGCTCTCGATGTATTATCAATTAAGATCCTTTTAACAAGGTGATATATTGAAACTGCCAAACACAACACAACAGCTCAAAGTGGATTTCTCTCTTGCTTTCTAGCTTTAGGACCATCACTTGTTGGAAGACTCATTGCTTTCTGTTTGCTTTTCTTTTCCTTTTCCTCTCTCCACTTTTCTCTCACCCTTTGCTCAAATGGATTCTTCTCAGTGGCCACAGGTAAACACATATTCAACCATCTTCTCTCTATCTTTACTTCTCTGGCCTGCTTGCCTCTATATATACACATGATATGACTCATAATTAAACATCTATATGCTTACAATATATCCTTAATCCTAGCTAGCTAGGGTTTAGAGAGAGAAGTTCAAAAAAATCAGTTATGTATATATCTACACACATATATGCATATATATTTTATTGATCTTAACTTTGCTTTGGCTCTTAATATTTCATCTACAATCTTTTTTCGTTGCAATCATAGTTTGAAAACCTACTTTTACAAGCTAAGAAATGTCCCTTCTTTAGTTGTTTAATTCCTGTTTCTATTGTTCCAATAAATTTGTTATCTAAAGAATGAACATCGTTTTAATTAATTTCTTCCTCGTTCTTCAACTACGTAAAAATGTATATGATATCTATCAACTTGTGATTAAAATCGAATTTACATCTTATTAATTAACCCGGAGGGTGTATATCCTTTTTCTTTCTACCCTCTTCAACAACTTCATTCTTCTATAAATCTTTAAATAATAGCCGTGCATCTATTTTAGCAAGGTTGTACCTGCACCTAGCTAGAGCTAGGTCGGAGATAGCTTAGCCCAATGTGTACAAATTAAATAAAATAAACTAAGAGAATATAATGAAGAATATCTGTTCACCAGGGAATATTTGTATTTTGTGTTTTATGTGATTGGAATGAACAAGAAAATATCTTCCCACTTGTAGGTGTAGCTAGCGATTCTTTGATATTTTGTACGGAGTAGAAAACATTTTCTCATTTCGAACTAGGGATATGTTTTACAAAGAATACTTTTTTCCAAGAAAAAATTGTTTAAATAAAGATCTTTTCATCAAAAACGTTTTTTTTTTGGGATTTGCCCTAAACAGTACTCCGTAGGTAGCATTAAGAATAAGGTAGTTTTACTAAATACCCGTATTATGTTTTTACCAAATGAGAATAAAGAGTGACATCTTAAAACCATATTGTTAAACTCAAATGATATTGTCATTTTTAATGCTTGATGTAATTTAATGATGAATGCCAGAAATTTACTTCTATTTAGAAAAAAGAGATAAAGAAAAAACACAACACTGTATTAGGCAAATTAAACCACCTTATTTAGTTATCTATACTCTTATTTTCCAAATTTCCTAATTAAAACATACTCCATACGAAGTACGTAGTATTACTGTACAGGTTTTCTAGTGGCAAACACTTGCAGTAAATCTTTGATACTCCGTATTTTGTAGAAAACGTTTTCTCCTTTTGAACACGGGGTATATTTAATTTTACATAGAATAACTTTTCTTCAATAGTGATTTAGATCATGATACATATATATATAGTAAAACTTTTTGAAATTGCAAAATATGAGTGAAAATAAGGACCATGATATGGTTTTCACAAAGTACCTTTCTTTAAATAGGAATAAATATTGTCATCTTGAAATTATACTTTCATACTGAGATAATCCGGCTCAATTGTCTTGATGTCACTATGAGTCTTTAGATCAGAAAATCAATGGCATAAGATGAGAGGGTCTGTTTTTGCACGGATCTCAAGATCCTAAATTTTAATCTTTGTTCTTCAATTGAGTAAGGCACCCTACCATTAGGCAGATGATCTCAATCCCACACACATATATGATAGTATATCTTAATGTATGATTCCATGACTCAGTCCTATTTGAGAAACTGGTCTAACTCAGTTGATCGTTGACTCACTCTCCCTTATGAGAGATCCTCAGTTTAATTCACAATGGAGTGAGATTGATCTCCGTATTCTGGTCCCCCTCCCCCCCTCTCACGACCCCGGGCAAAAAAAAAAACTTAGACTCCTATTCAAGAAAAAACACTCCAACTTGGTTTTACTCTTGTTTTGAGAAACTTACTAAAACATTTTTACAAAACAAAAAAGAGCCATAGATTTGTTTTGCCTTAGTTGTTTGTATGTGTCAAAACAATTGATAAATGTGTATTTGTAGAAACATAGAAAGTAGCAGTGCTGTAAATATATACACATATATACATATACATGAGTGTGATGATGATGATGTGTTGGGATGGCAGGGTGGTGTGGAAGGTAATAGTCCAAAGAAGACAAGGACAGAAAAGGAAAAAGCGGCATTGAATTGTCCAAGGTGTAGTTCCCCCAACACCAAGTTCTGTTACTACAACAATTATAGCTTGTCCCAGCCCAGGTACTTTTGTAAGACCTGTAGGCGCTATTGGACCGCAGGTGGTTCTCTGAGGAATGTTCCGGTCGGCGGCGGTTCAAGAAAGCACTGCCGGAGATCCTCTTTTTCATCTCCCTCCCTCTCTTCTAACAAGAATCTCATCACTTCCACTGCCCCAAAGATGAATTACCTAGCTTATGATCCGCCGCCGCCCGTCACTGTTACCGGCGGCAGCGCGAACAACAATACTTTCAGCGGCATTTCTGGGCTTGTGAATCTGAATCTGAATCAGAATCATCAGCAGAAAAATGGGTTTTTTTCTTCTTTCATGGGCATGTTGCCGCCGCCGGCAGCTGACCATATGTTATTTCCGCCGCCGGCTGGGGTTCATCCAAACGGCGGCGGCGGCGGTGCCTTCAACTTTTGTTTGGATGGGTTTTATGGGAATTTACTGCAAGGGTCCGGGGGCGGTTCAGGTAATGCCAGGCTCCTCTTCCATGATGCTGATGTGATGAAGCCTGCAGTTTCAGCGGCGGAGATTGACAATGATCGGCTGTTTGGTCAGCGGCGGCCGCCGGAAGAGGACGTTGCTGCTGGCGGTGGCGGAGTTGGTGGTGATGCGGGGAATAATGGGTATTGGAATAATAATAACAGTAATCATAATTATGGGATGCTAGGTGGAGGATCATGGTGTGATTAGTTAATTAATGAATAATTAATTAAATATATTTGGTGCTTATTTGGTGTGGGGCTTTTGTTCATTTCATCATTTTGTTGCATGTTCTTCACTAATTTTTCTTGTTCATGTTACCTTTGGTGATCAAATGTTGGTTTTTAAGTGTATTGATCAATCAAGTAATAGAGTAATTAACAGATTGGGGCCGGTTTGGACGTAGTGTTTTATTCATATATTCATATATTTCAATTCATATCTCATAGAGATCAACATTATATGGTGCTACATATATTTGGGAGTTCTGCCCTAGCTAATAGCCTATTACACATGTTATGCTTGAATTGAATTTGTTTCTTACTACTCTGTGAGTTCTTTTTGAACAAACTCGTTTGATCAGTAAATTTTATTTTGTGTTTCTTTGAACAGTTCTCTACTGGCTTCAATTAATTTATATTTCCATTTTGAACTACTTTTTCTCACTTAAGAGTTAATTTCAACATTTTACTTTGGAACTTCAATCTTCTATCATATTTTTCTTGTCACATTTATTAGTTGAACTTATTTCAATCCCAGACTAGAACTTATTGTACTAAATTTAAACAGATCATAATAGATCGCATTTAAATAAGTCAGACCGGATCAAATTCAACAGTTGTAAAATACATATAGACTAAACATCATCGACCAGACCATACTGGATCTGAAAATTTCAATTCAATTAAAAATATCCCAAGTATTGTGCCGTACATTATATTGGGTGCAATAGCCAATAGACACGAAAAGTACATGTTGTTCTTAGGGGTATTTAATATTCTTACAACTTCTTAAAAACTATTTATAGGAGTAATTTGAAACACTTAAATGTACTTTTGAAATTTCACCCAAATACCGAGATATTTGGGTGAAAACATTCCCAAGAACGTCTTCATATGTTAATTAAATCTAGTTTGAATTGACATGATCTAAGAGCATCTCCATCCATGCTTCTTGAATATTCGGTTTTTATGCTTTTGTCTTGGCATGTCATTACCACATAAATAAAATTAATGTCGACCAATTCCCCTTCAACCATGATCTCTATTTATTTACTTTTTTTTTTATAAACAATGCCCTCATTAATTTAGAATTGAACTCCATATGTTATTCCTTATATTGTACCCGCATATATTTCATCAAGAGTAATTATTGTAAAACTTGGAAAATAGTGTCATATTTAAAATCTGGTAATGCATGTCAAAATATGACAATAATTACTCCAATTTAGGATATAAAAACATGAAAGTCTTATTTTAAAATTTACAAAAGAAAATTTACGAAATAAGAGTAAAAACGTTTGAGAATTCTGAAATAGGGTTGTCATGTTTTATTTTAAATCCTAAATAGGAGTAAGGATGTTTTTTTGAGCGTTTTCAGTACCAGACCAGATCAGATCATATCAAACCAGACTTAAACAGACAAGGCTGGACCAAACTTCAATTACATAGTTATAAAATACATAGAAACCAGACATTTACTAGACCGGACTAGATCAGACCAGACCAGCAAATTTCAGTCCAAAAGAAAACATCCTAAGCACATTCAAACTTGGAAAATAATGTCATATTATAAATTTGATACTGCCTAAACATGACAATAATTACTCATATTTAGGGGAACATGATATAATCCTCTTTTGAAAAACACAAAAAATTTCAATCTTTTTTTTTGAAAATCCAATAACTATATTAATAACTGTTTAAAGCATGGATAATACAAGTAGGTGGAATATCCATCCAAATACCGACAGACCCAGAACAGGCTTCTCTAGAAAGAATGTGAGCAGCCTGATTCGTTGTACGGTGCACATATTGGACAACCATCATGTGCCTAATATCTCTAAAAATAATGTCGTTATAGTGTATGCCGTCTCCCCGAGTAAGCCCCTGGACAATTTGCTTGGCATCAGATTCCACAATGACCCGATGTCATCCCCGTTCCAGTGCCCACTTAACCGCTTCCTCAATCGCCATTGCTTCCGTTGTCCCAGGTGTAAATCTCCCCTTTAATTTCTCATAATGCTCCTCCCTGCTACAAACTGTCCATTACAGTCGGGAACAACAAGGCCCAAGCCTCTTGCATCTCCTAGTTTGAAGTTGCGGCATCAACATTAATCTTCACCCATCCCCCCTCCGGGGGTTTCCAAGAGTCATTTTCCCCGCTGAAGTCTGCGCCTTAGACTTAGGAAATTGCGCAGCCTTCCACCCGTCCCAAACTGTTTCGCCGCAGGTGATTACTCCCTTCCAATTTGGATTCAAGTTTTTTCAAATCTTCTCATTCCGAGCTTTCCACAAGCTCCCAAAACTTGAATGGGGAGTGGGCGCCGTTGGTGGCAAATTTTCCAAACTCCTCTTTCGTGCTACTCGCTGCTACCAACGACGCCCAGTCCCCAAAACTCCAGGCTGCCAAAGTCAGAAAATTCCTGCCCCTGTTATTCCACACCGCCGAGCTAAAGTGCAGTCTCGGAGAATGTGCAGCGAGCTTTCTTCTCCATGTCCGCAAATCAGACACTTTGGCCACAAAGGCACTCTCCTTTGGATTAGCCGTTGTTTGCTAGGTAAGCAATTCATCCACGCAAGCTTGCCATAAAAATAATTTAACCTTCGATGGTATTTCAAGCCTCCAAATTTTTGCCCAACCTGCGTCCGGTAAAAAAAAAAACTTCTACGTGTGACGGCTTGAGTTTATTTAATCAACCAGGCTTCAGGTACACATTTTTGTACACACTTACACACTCGTGTCTGTGAAGTGTTTTGCTTTGTCTGTATAGAGACACAACTCATTTCACAGACACTTCAAATGCATTATTATCTCATTACACGTACTATCTATGAGATCCATTATCTAATCGTTTTTGGTTTAATATATACGGAGTAGTAATTTAATTATACTCCCTCCGTCCCTAAATGGTGTTCCAATTGCGGATTACGAAGGTTAACCGACGATAAAGTTAAATGATCCCTGTGAAAACTTGGATTATTTTTAGTAAATAAAATTTACATATTCAGAAACTACATTAAACCCGCTACAAAGCCTGCAAAAAATAATTCAACTTTTATAAAATTTTGATATAAAAAGTAAGAGTTTAAAAGTGATTTAATAAGTTGACCCTCGATAAGCGAAATTGAACTTCTTTTAGGGACAGGAGTAACTTTTAGTATTCAAATTACAATGACTAGGGCTATTGGCCGCAATACATGTTTACACCACTAAACAGTTTGCAAATTTGTGCTGCTAATTATGAACAGTTGTAACACTGAGTAGTATATTACACCAAATGAAAATGGAAACCGAAACGTTTGGCAAGGATATCTTGCCTACCAGCGTATGGTATATGGGTACCACGCACTAGATAAAAGCTGAAATCCAATAAAGAGACATCATATTTTCAGATAAGCAAGCCCACACCATGCCAACAATTTTGACTATTAACTTTTTAATTCTATATTATTAAAATATAAGAAATTAAAACATATGTTGAAACTTCACTTTGTGAAGAATTTAATAATTTTTATTATAATTTTTTTAATACATTGATGAAAAAAATGACTCAAAGTAGACTAGTAGTACGTGTACATAAATAGATAAAAGCCTTTAATTGTAAAAGTCGGATGTACCGCGAGATAAATTCACCTTTTATACCAGATTATATACTTTCTATAAGAATTCAATTCCAAATCAGAGCATATATCGCAATTCATCTTGCGCATATATGATTGCAATCAGATTATTGAATTGGTAACTTATTATTGGTAACTTATTATTATGGATATATTGAGAGAGTATTTCGTAACAGCACAATTATTTTGTTCAACAGTATAAACACTTTAATACAATAATTATCGCCTTATCGGTACAAAATATTTTACACCAATATTTTAGATGCTCTGGGCTGAATAAAAATTATACTAGGTTTAAATATTAGAGGGGTGGACTAAACGTGAAAAATGAAAAAATTTACACTAAAAAAATTGAAAATTTTCTAAGTTGCTATGAGTTTCAATCTACCATAGTCCGTACATAGATCCTCCCCTGTTTGGGTTGACCGATGTCTAAGTTGGCCCCTAGCTATGCCATGTTTGTGACAGAAATTATTAAATTAATAACTTACTACAAAGTAATTTATATATCTTTCAAATAAATTTTCTTTACATAATTGTTGTGGGAAAGAGAGTATATGTACAATGTTTTTTTAAATTTTAAATACCATATTTCTATTTTGATTTCAACTTTGAGAAATGCTACAACTTAACTCTATAATCACGGCACTGAAATACGTATTCTACTATTATTAGCTAATGCCCCCAAGTTAATTAAGGACATAAAGTATTTCTGTTATGTGTGACAGACTGACAGATGCAAGAAATTAAAATCTTGAAGTACAAGGTTCTATGAAGTGTATTAGTTTAGCTAGGGACGTAATTAAGTACGTACGTAACATAGGTAAGGCGTGTCTACTACTCCGTACGTACGTAAGGGTATCCGCTCTTTTTTTAATTAAATAATTCTTTAAGTAAAATATAGAAATAATTATATTCGGAATATTTAATTTATTATTAAAAAAAGGTTGTATATAAAAATTTGATGCTTTAAGGATGTTTTCTTTTGGACTGGAATTTGTTGGTCTGATCTGGTCTGGTTTGTTTAATTTAAGTCTGGTCTGGTCTGAACTGGTTTGGTCTGGTCTGGTAAACGTCTGGTCTATGTGTATTTTATAACTATGGAAGTCTGATCTGTTTAAATCTGGTCTGGTATGGTCTGGTATGAGACTAAAAACAGTCCAAAAGAAAACATCCTAATTAAGTGTGATGACAAGTGACTATAATATTAACTTTTGTCAAGATAATTAATACTCAATATTTACACTTAACTAACTACGACATCATACGTACTGTTATACGATGACGTAACTTTTAGTCATATTTTTACAAATTAATTTCATTTTAATAATGGTTTTGAAAAAAACAGATATACTCCCATATAAATAACATAGAGTATAAAACTAAGCATCTTATATTTGAAAGAAAATGACTATATGATGCTTCTGTTTAGAGAAATATATTCAAGTTTAGCCCTATTTATAATTTATAGATTCTAATATCTTTTCTTTCTTTCACTATTAATTAATAATTTGTCACCGTGAGATTTTATACTCGTGTGTATCAGAGACTCAAGCCAATATATGTATTTTTATGGTCGCTTAAAAAAGAACTCTAACATTTACACGGTCGTTACGTTTCAATTCGTGATTTCGAGTGATGAACCTTAATTATTCCTCCAAACTTCCTACAGCTTTATGGATTGAATTGAGGGTCACTACACGTACCAAGTCTAAATGGTTAAGGAGACAGAGGACTAGGTATGCATGTGCATGTGATTGATGATATGATGCATGCTTTTACATCACATGCTGCCTTTTAGATATACACACATCCACTTTAACCCTTTAATCTGTTAAAAGCAGTGCTCTGCCTGCATCATCTCCCACATAATGCATTCATCATATCTGCGCTGCCCGGATACTCTCTCGCCCTGGCCTGGGGACACCTATATCGATCATACATATCCAGTACTCCCTCCACCTTTTTATTTCATTTTTTTTTTATTTTTTTTGTATTTCTAAATTTTTGACAAGTTATATTTTGTAACATTTATATGGCTCAACATCAGCGATACAATTTTTTTTATTAATAACTGTGTCTTGCGCGCACTCGCTTCATGCCACAATTTTAATGGGAGGGATATAGCCAGTAAGGATAAAATAATTTGAATTTAGCATAATTAATAAGAAATGCGTAAATACTTGAATGATATCGGGGTGGGCATATTGATTTTCGCAGTTTTACCAGTTTCGGATAGGTTTGGTTTAGAACGGATTGAAAGAGTTATTACCAAAAAAATCATGCTATTTTTCAATTTGGTTTGATTTTGTTTAATTCAGCTTGGTTCAGTTTGGATTTTTTATTTTTTAATAATATATGAAGTATTTATTGATTTTTTTTATTTGATTCGGTTTGATTCATGGCCTTCATTAATGATGTATTTCGAGTTTCGACTTCTCAACTTTTGAATGATGGAAAGTAGTATTTTAATTATATTTAATTTTCTGATGATGATGTCATGAAACTAGTTTCTTAGTTATATTTAATTTTCGAGTTTAGACAGTTTTTTTTATCAAATACGAAGTATGTAATTTTTAATTTTGCACATTGAATTGTGCAATAGTAAAATTAAGTAATATTAGAGTTACTTTTCTGCCTGAAATGACTGAATTATCTAAAGTTGACGATTTTAACTATTTTTTATAAAAAAATTTTTCTTTTTATTAATAAAATAATACGTAAATTTTAAATATAATTTATTCACAATTCACTGGATTCAGCCAATTTAGCAGTTTCAATCAAAATTTATCAATTTCACTATAATCATTTGATTCAACTAATTTTAGTGTCATCAAAAAGCTTAAAATTTCCTAATGACCTTGTGAAACTGATATTATTACAAGTAGAGTAAAATTTTGATTTGTTGCAATGATTACCTATGTGCCTGATTTCTCTTTGAGTTGGTCGAACTAATTTAATTAGTCCAATCATAACATGAAGTACTAAGCTTTAAATATGAAAACTTTTAATAATATGAATTACTACCTATTTAAATATAACAAATTTAATATCAAGCCTCTTCTTGAACACAAACTCGGTCATGTATTTCTTAATGAGTAAATATCATAGATGACACATTAATAATAGTACTTCGTATTAGCTTAGGTACTAACTATTGTATGAGTCAAATGAGTACTTCGATACCATCTAAGTTTAGGCCATAATTTAAGTTGGAGAATTGAGTTCACCTACATTATCAGAAATTTGTGTTTAATAAATTAATTGGGAAATGAGTACCAATTAATTGAATATAGAATAAAAGTGATACATATCAATAGAAAATCATATAAAAATGTAGAATGCGTGGCCTCATTTTGAGAAAAATTTATCTAAGAACATAAAGTTAATGAAGTTCTTCCGGAAGTGTTAACTGTTGGTCGGACGCTCGTAGGCTTTTAGGAAAGCCACGTAAGAACACTCAAGCAGAAATCAGGAAAGTAATACGAGTAAGGAAAGTAGCTAGATAGTTTGGTAGCCAGAAATAACATATGAAGTTCGCCTCCCTCTAATCTGAATTACAACATGCCTTTTATAGGCGTATACAAATCGTAACTTCTATTAACTAATAATGACTAATTAATTACAACATTAATACGGAATTAAATACATAATTAAACCCCGCATTAATTGCTTGGCCGTTACTTTTCCTGGCTGGCAGGTCGGCCGGACTGGCAGGCTCCCCGTTGGGGTGGTTGGCAGGCTCCCCGTTGGGGTGGTAGGCAGGCTCCAGGTTGTGAATCTGGATCCACGGGTCCAAGTTCGGGGCTTGGGGCGATTAGGCTCTGGGCCTAGCCCCATAACTCCATCACGAGTCCCCCACTCCCTTAGTCGAGTAGTAGACTCGGCTAAGAGGGAGTAGTCCAAGTCAGTTGCCCTTCTCCGAGACTGGAAGATC